TAAGTAATAGTGCTATGCTGCATGGCCACATGGTTTAGTATTTTACTTTACAAGTTTTAAAGTTCATTATCAGTATTCAGTTTATTACAACCACGGACTAAGATAAACAGGACTGGAAACGAGATAGTCATCTATGGAACTACAGTGTAACGCTTCTGGTACAAGTGCGATTTTAACGCCATCTATGATCCATTCTACGAAATATTAATACATCAGTGTCCAGCACGAATTAAGATTTTGGCATTTGAAATTGCTTCATTCCAAGCAATTAAATTAACCACATCTTTAAATAAAGTGTATTTTTTTCCCTCTGAACATCCCGTACAGCCATCCACATAGAATTTTCTCGGCATTTTAGCGAATAATAAATGGATAATATAGTTGGTAAAATGTAATGTACATTAAATACTAAATGCTAATACCTAAGAGCTAATAGGTGCTTATAAATCACGGACTAAGATAGAGTCACAATAGAGTTATCTTAGTTTATCTTAGTCCGTGGTATAAATGTATTAAACTATTGTACCTAATTTTATTATAAACAGAAATAATATGCAAATAAATATATGTGTAACAAATGCTAAATATTATCAATAGATAGAGCCACATTTGTCCATGTACTACAAGCGTTACACTATGGTTCCGGCTACCCGCACTCCTCCCGTCTATAGTTTCCAGTCCTGTTTATCTTAGTCCGTGTCACAAATCCTAAACTTTCGTCTTACAACCTTTGAGACTTTTATAATTCCAACGACGTTGTCTCCAAAATCGGTACCCACTCTCAGCGAGTTCCACAGGCCCCGAGTTTCACTTAGAGCTAGTTATCTATCTATACTATATAAAGCGTGAACCCGAGGGCGCCGCCTATGCGTTAAATCGGCACTTTATAGGGAACCCTCCAATGAGAAAATTCAATTTCCCCGGAGGGCGGTCTCCCGGCGGCGGCGGAGCCGTCGCTGCGTAATCAGCCTTTCTTATCACTGTTTCGAGATTTTTTCGATTTTTTCGAAATTTTTCGAGTTTTTCGAGTTTTACCCCCTCGGGGGGCCCGGGGTCTCCCCGCTGTGACCTTATTCGCGTTCCCCGCTAGATTTACAGGCCGCACGCGGCCGTATTTTCTTCCCGGCGGGCCCGCGGCGGCCGATCTCGCGCGCGATACGAGCGCCGCCGTCGCGCGCGTTTTTCGCCGTGTTTTTCGAAATATCGAGTTTTCCCCCCTCGGGGGCCCCGGGCGTCCCCGTTCGCGTTATATTCGCGCTCCTCGCTATATTTGTAGCCGGCGCGCTATCCTACTTTTTCAAAAATGAGTCCCCTCATCCGACTAGACAGTCGCCGACGCCGCGGCGTCGTCACGATTTCGACGGTTTTTCCGACTTTTTCCAACAGAGTCGCGTTTCGCTTCGTTTGTAGACTTTTCACCTCCCCGCCGAAGACGTATTCGAGTTCCCCGCTAAATTTATAGCCGGCCCGCAGTCCTACTTTTTCAAAAACGAGTCCCGGGGAGGAGCGGCGTCGCGGAAACGAGAGTAGGTACCGAGTAGGTACATTTTGGGTATCGCTATATACAGGCATAAATACATGCGTCCCGACGATCGATTTTTTTCGCGAATCTCACCGAATCGAACTTCCGAAGCCGGTCGTCCCCTTACCGACGCGTTCGACCCCCCCGCTCGGACGCCATTTGACGGACGTGGACGCCGCTTTCCAGTTTCGGGTGCACGGCGACGCGGCTTAATAGTCATAGATTTGACACGATTTTTCATCTGAGTAGGTAGTCGATAGGTTAGGGCGCTAGGACATGTAACTAGGAGTCGTGGGTTCGATACCGTCCCCCGGCGATGTCGAAGATTTGCGGCGGCCGTGATAATCTTGAGTTTTTTTTCGCGTTTTTTTTTTCGTCTTTTCTCCATCAGTTCCGGATTCTCATACTTAAATAGTTCCCCCTCATAGTCGGGGTACTTTTGACCCCCCCCCAATCAAATTTTTTTTGGCCGAGCATAACTTAGCCGGGGATCGTCGTAGCCGTATTTTGTAAACGGCTATGGGTTGTGGGTGACCACGTGCATACCATATCAAAAATTACCCCCCCCTCCTTTTTTTGATTTAAGTATATCTCTGTCACGTTTCGACTTGGGTCCCCCGTTTTACCACCAAAATTTACGTTTCAAGACCCTCTAAATAGTCCCCCCCTAGTCGGGGTACTTTTGACCCCCTCTCAAATTTCTCGGTGACAGTTATGAACGCCGTCCGCGATTCGACGCGATAATAATAACTGACTTACATGTATGCTTTGTCGTAGGTACCTATTAAATATATCACAGTTTGGTTGAGGTTGAGTTGTTGGTAATATTATGAATAACATATTGATATATATGTATATATATTATGTGCTATTTATTATATACATGTATCTTTATACCTATTGATATATTTATATAATAACATTTTATAAAAATATATATATATTATACTATGTAGTAGGTACTTAATGTATTACAGTTTTTAGGTGAGTCAAATTATGTATATTAAAAATATAATCTAATGTGTTTAATTAAATTATATGACTATGCTATAACTATTTAATAAATAATAATAATAATAAATATTTAGTTAACACTGCTACAGATTATAAATACTATTTGATATAATATTTATAAACTAATAGATCTAATTGAAATGATTAAATTCTGGTAGTTAAATTGTACAATTATTATAATATACCTAACTACTCTCTTTGATATTATTTATATGGATAGATTTGATCGTTTCATGTAGTAGATATTTAATATATAACTTAACGTATTTAAATATTACTATACTTATTAAACTATTTAATAAATAATAATAATAAATATTTAATTTACACTTGATTTAATCCAACGCACATATATGTTTCCTTTATACTTCAATAAACAATAGTGCAAGTACAATATAACTACTAACCTAGGTTCATGTATACTTTGTAGTAGGTACCTACTTAATATATCACAGTTTGGTTGAGGTACGATACAAATACTGCTGCAGATAGTATATAATACTCTGATAGTTAAATTGTATTTGACATAATTTGTTATTGCTCAAAATATAGGTAGGTCTATAGTGTATATTAATTTAATTATGAGTTTCAAATTAATAAATTATGAATAACAAATTGATATATATATATACAATATGTACTATTTATTATATAGATGTATGTTTATACCTAATGATATATTTATATAATTTAAGCATAATATTATGTATGTACAAAGTGAAATCAGTACATATTTTGTTCCATTGGTCTAAAAGTTTAAATGAAGTACTATTTACTATTAATTATATCATTGGTATTGGTTGGTATATAAAATATGTCTTTTTCTAATAGTTTGCATTGTGTGTTAAACGGTATAGTGTTATAATATATGAACTGGGCATATTGTAATATGTAAAAATTTAATTAGAAGAAGTATTAGTGAAATTGGTAAATAAGGTAGTTGGTCATAGGTTAGTACTCCATGAGTAGGTACATAACATTAATGGACTAATAGAGAGTAACTAAGTATTGGAAACAGAGGATTTCACTTCTAAGTATATAATAACAAATTATAAATATATATATATATATATAATATACTATGTAGTAGGTACTAAATTTTTAGGTGATATTAAAAATATGAATTATATGAATTTAGTCATATCATATGACTATACTATAAGTATTTAATAAATATTTATTTATAATAAGTATTTAGTTAATACTTGACACATTTACCATGAACAACGCACCTATATTTTTCAAATAGTATATAATACTCTGATGGTTCAATTGTATAATGATATGACATAATTTGATATTACTCAATATAATATAGGTCTATGGTCTATCACGTATATTTATTTATTTATTTAATATCAAATGTAATAATTTATGGATAATAAATTGATATATATATTATGTACCTACATAATATGACTAATGTATTTTATAGATGTACCTATGTATATACATAATAGTATAGTTATATAATTTAAGCATATTATATGTATGTACATGAATTAATAGTGATATTAGTATACATTTTCGTTCATTGGGCCAAAAATATAAATAAAGTACCTGCACATAATATTATAAAAAATATTTCAGTTAACATATTATTGGTACCTATATAGTAAGTAGATGAATTGATAGTGAAATAAAATTAGTAAATAAAGTAGTTGGGCACAGGTACTCCAATGGTATATAATATACTATGTAGTAGGTACTTAATGTATTACAGTTTTTAGGTGAGTCAAATTATGTAGGTATATCAATAAACAAAATATAACTTAATGTATTTAATTAAATTCTGGCAGGTAAATTGTATAATTATATATTGATATGACTAAACTATACGATACTGTCTACATAATATGCCCGTTAATATACGCGACATTATGCGAGTGGGCCGCGGAGTGTGATTGAGTGAGTGCGGGGGGGGGGGAACTTTGTCGACGCGAAGCGCGCCCGTTTCGACCTGCCTCTTGTGATCGGCGCTCGTACAACGCACATCGACTCTCACGGAAAAGCCAAATACGTTTCGTGTTATTTAACATTCAGTGTTTTTCTTTGAGTTTTGTTGTCTTTTGGGCGCTTTTCACATACCCGGTGAGTACAACTTCTATAATAATATCTACTACCTACTATATAATATTCAGATAAACAACTGATTCTATATGTTTGCACAGTGTCGGCCTGGTACCTAAAGGGCCCCGGATGCATTTCTTCAGAAGGGCCCCCAAAATTTTTTTTTCATAAAATTATTAAAAATGTACTTATAAGTAGGTAGTGTAAAATATTATAATTTTTTAAAGGTACCATATATAAAATTAACCATCCATTAAGTTAAGATTTAAGTTAGATTAATAATTTATTATTCTAAACAATTTTTTACATATTACATAATATAAATAATACCTTCTCACATAATATTTTTTTTAATGTGATTCTAATTCAAAATTAATTGTGCATTTGGTTTTCTTTATATCAGTAATTTTTTTAGTTCACTAGATGAGTTAGCAATCGTATCAATCAACTCATCTGAGTCAATCAAAATATCCTTTTCAATGGACATTAGCATTAATGGATTAAGATGTTCTTGGTGTAAAGAAGACCGAAGTTTAGTTTTGATTATTTTCAGTTTTGAAAATACTCTTTCACAGGTAGTCTGTGTTGATGGTAATAGCAACACAAATTTATATAATGTGAACAAATTACAAAATAAATTAGATTGACATGACAGCTCTTGGAGCAAAATCAATGCACAGTGAAGACATTTAGTGCATTTGTCACATTTAATTTGTTCGGTGGGTTTAACTTCAATATCTTCATCTTCATCAATATATATAATTTTAGAAGATTTAGATTTAATATCGTGAAAATCATTTTCAGATACATCTGGTATGAAATTACTATACTGACAAGCAAACTGTTTTAGCTCAATTGCAATGATCTCTTTGTCTAAATCTGCTAGTTTACATATTGTGTTCAACGAGTCCTTGGGAAATTGTTCAAGTTCATTAATAAAAGCAAATGTTTTAGGATCCAGCCAATTTAAATCTTTTAATAACATTTCATTAGGTACAAATCGTGATTTTATGCTATTAAGAATAGTATCTATAATAGAATAAGCATTTGACTTAAATTTTGTGTAAGGTGTTATAATTCTAACTTCATCTGAACACTTTTCTCCAGATAAAGTTTTTTTTTTTTGGAATACGCTTAATAGGAAAATCTTCTTGAATATCTATGAGGTCTTCTTCATCAAAAAATAAATTAATTTTTTCGGCAAATGATTTGCATTTTGTATACAAAGAGTTTATGTAATTTTCATTTCTTTTTTTTTCAATTTTCTTTTGTAAAGTTTCAATCATATTCCAAGCTTGTAAATAATTAATTGATTTAGTTTGCAAATACACTGATACAGGACTTGTTATTGCATATATATCAAGCAACAAATTAGAAATTAATATTATTTCAAATTTCGACCAATTAGTTATTAAAGATTTGGCCATGTATTTAGTCTGAACATTAAAGTTTCCTTTGCAGACTGCAACTAAAAACTCTAGTAAAGTGACAAACTTACTATTTTCAACTTTATTGCTATCTTCAACTATCTGTACATCCATGATAGAAGACAATGCTTTTTCTTTGCTCCACCACCTAGTGGCACCAATTTTTTGTAAGCGATAGAGTTTTCCATGTGCAGAATGTTTCTCTCCTGTTACATTCATCCATGTAGTCATTCGCTTATGAGAATCAGTTAAGAACACTGCTGATTGTTCAATTAACCCAAATAGATCTTCTGCCAACTGTAAATTATTTGTAGACTCACTCATTACCAAATTTAGAACATGACCCATACAGTGAGTATATATAATATCTGGATTGACTTTTTTTAAATATGCCTGTAAACCATGATATGTTCCCTTCATATTCGCTGCTCCATCAAAAGAGCATGCCACAATATCTTCAAGTAATAGTCCATGAAGTTTCAAACTATCTTCCAACAATTTAAAAAGCGCTTTACCACTAGAATCCTTACAAATTACTAAACTTAGTAACCGTTCTTGCACGATTCCATTGAAAATATAACGAACACAAAATGCAAGCTGGTCCATAGTGCTCACGTCTTGAGTACTATCAATCATAATGCTAAATTTCTTACATTCAACAATTTCTTTAACGATTTTTCCTTGAATAGCTGCTCCTATGGACATAATCAATTTTTCGTTGACAAAGTGTTTTGATAAAAAAGTTACCATACCTCCTCGGCCTTTTTTGTTTTTATTTTTGTCACTTAGTATAATTGATTTATCCACGTGTTGTCCTAGAATAGTATCATATTTTGCCACAAGTTTAACAAGTTCTAAAAAGTTTCCATGGTTTAAACTATGATCAGTTAATGAATGAGCAGCTTCATGCTTTCCACGATACGGTATACCCTGTCGCCCAATAAATAAAACTATATCAATCAAACGCTTTAATATTTGTCTTCGGATTTCTACTTCTTGGGCTCTTTTTGCCATAACATCTCGATTTAATATAGACTGAATATCTTTGTTTAATTTAAAACGAACAGCTGTATTTGTAGAATTATTATGGAAAATGGAATTTTCATGGATCATTATATCACGATATAAACATTTATTTTTTTTTATATCCACTTCATAACCAGATATAAATTTAGTTTCGATTTCGCCATACTTTTTATGCACTCCATATGCCATGCAATTGGAACAGTGTAAAGAATTTGTATCCACACAATATGACACCCATTTTCTTTGAACAATGTCACCATTTGGCAGCTGTTTATAGTATATTCTTTTTAAGTCAACTTTACCTGTTCCTGATTGTACATAAGGTTGTATAGGATGCTTGTCAAAAAAAGCATTTTTTGCTGCGACAGAATCACTCACTGAAGGACGAATAAAGTTTGAAATTGTACAAACCTAAAACAAAGAAATATATAACTAAATAAATAATTTAATTGTATTATTTTATATATATTTACTGTATGGTCCTTAATGTCTTTAGAAAATTGAGTATTTGTTACAGTATTTGTTACAGTATTTTTTTTACATTCGATAACATTGCTTTCTGCATAAAAAAAAAGTAATAAAAAAGTAATTAGGTACCTACTTAATGAAATTAAATAAATAAATATTTTACCATTTGTGTCAACAACATAACCAGAAGATTCACTGTTTTGAATTTCTTCAGGACATTCGATAACATTGCTTTCTGCATAAACAAAAAGTAATAATAAACTAATTAGGTACCCTACTAAAGTACTTAATGAAATTAAATAAAGAAATATTTTAATAATACTTTTACCATTTGTGTCTACAACATAACCAGAAGATTCACTGTTTTGAATGTCTTCAGGACATTCCATAACGTTGCTTTCTGCATAAAAAAAAAAGTAATAATAAAGTAATTAGGTACCTCGTACCTACTTAATGAAATTAAATAAATAAATATTTTACCATTTGTGTCTAGAACATAACCAGAAGATTCACTGTTTTGAATGCCTTCAGGACATTCGATAACATTGCTTTCTGCATAAAAAAAATTAATAATAAACTAATTAGGTAAATACTTAATGAAATTAAATAAATAAATATTTTACCATTTGTGTCTAGAACATAACCAGAAGATTCACTGTTTTGAATGTCTTCAGGACATTCGATAACATTGCTTTCTGCATAAAAAAAATTAATAATAAACTAATTAGGTACCTACTTAATGAAATTAAATAAATAAATATTTTACCATTTGTGTCTAGAACATAACCAGAAGATTCACTGTTTTGAATGTCTTCAGGACATTCGATAACATTGCTTTCTGCATAAAAAAAATTAATAATAAACTAATTAGGTACCTACTTAATGAAATTAAATAAATAAATATTTTACCATTTGTGTCTAGAACATAACCAGAAGATTCACTGTTTTGAATGTCTTCAGGACATTCGATAACATTGCTTTCTGCATAAAAAAAAATAATAATAAACTAATTAGGTACCTACTTAATGAAATTAAATAAATAAATATTTTACCATTTGTGTCTAGAACATAACCAGAAGATTCACTGTTTTGAATGTCTTCAGGACATTCGATAACATTGCTTTCTGCATAAAAAAAATTAATAATAAACTAATTAGGTAAATACTTAATGAAATTAAATAAATAAATATTTTACCATTTGTGTCTAGAACATAACCAGAAGATTCACTGTTTTGAATGTCTTCAGGACATTCGATAACATTGCTTTCTGCATAAAAAAAATTAATAATAAACTAATTAGGTACCTACTTAATGAAATTAAATAAAGAAATATTTTACCATTTGTGTCTAGAACATAACCAGAAGATTCACTGTTTTGAATGTCTTCAGGACATTCGATAACATTGCTTTCTGCATAAAAAAAAATAATAATAAACTAATTAGGTACCTACTTAATGAAATTAAATAAATAAATATTTTACCATTTGTGTCTAGAACATAACCAGAAGATTCACTGTTTTGAATGTCTTCAGGACATTCGATAACATTGCTTTCTGCATAAAAAAAATTAATAATAAACTAATTAGGTACCTACTTAATGAAATTAAATAAATAAATATTTTACCATTTGTGTCTAGAACATAACCAGAAGATTCACTGTTTTGAATGTCTTCAGGACATTCGATAACATTGCTTTCTGCATAAAAAAAATTAATAATAAACTAATTAGGTACCTACTTAATGAAATTAAATAAAGAAATATTTTAATAATACTTTTACCATTTGTGTCTAGAACATAACCAGAAGATTCACTGTTTTGAATGTCTTCAGGACATTCGATAACATTGTTTTCTGCATAAAAAAAATTAATAATAAACTAATTAGGTACCTACTTAATGAAATTAAATAAAGAAATATTTTAATAATACTTTTACCATTTGTGTCTACAACATAACCAGAAGATTCACTGTTTTGAATTTCTTCAGGACATTCGATAACATTACTTTCTGCATAAAAAAAAATTATAATACATAAAAAAACATTTTTCCAATACACTTACCTTCAGTCCGAAATTGTTGCTTGGGCACTTGGAAAAAATTAATTTTTGTTTGATTTAAAGAAGATCCTACTTCTAATAGCAATTGTTTATTTTTCTTATTCCTTTTTTTATAACCTGACATGTAAACACGTTTCATATTTGATGACTGAAGTTAATTAAATTAAATAATATAATAAATATTTAGATATGTAAAAGAACCACATTCAACCACGTAGAGAAACAGAAAATTTAGAGCAGTACTATGTTATAATATAATTTTTATAACACTACACAACATCTCATTGTGATAACTGTGTGCTCACATTGATTATCGAATGACAACATAAATAATTAAAAACAAAATGAACACACCACACAGGGTTGCGTGATATTGATATACCATCATAATCAGAAAATTGCAGTAAAACTGTTCTAATTATAGATACATGGTACATTGGTTTTTCCGTCTGGAGGTCGAAAACTATCTATTATTTACGATAACAATTATCACTCACACAGATAACAAAAGTTATCACATAAATCCATAATAATATTATAAATGATAAAATCGTACAATAACATTATTAATAATAATATTCATTATCCAATATTTATATTGCTGAGTATGATCGGGGGCGGGGGCCCCCGGACACAAATACGGCCGAGGGCCCCGGACGCGTTTGCGGCCTAGCGGCCATGGCCAGGCCGACACTGTGTTTGCACCAGCTACAGACATCATGGCGCGTTTCGTGTTTTTTTCGTACCTAACTTTTTTATATCCGCATTCGTATTAGTTGTGTATTATCCAGTCGCTGTAGTCGATGTTTAAGTCCGTTGGCTGTTTCTTCGCGTTACCATTGCGGTACCTACGTGTTTTATCGCTTTACATTTTGCGTTAACACTTAACAGTTAATTGTGCAATTACGAGCTGGGTAAGTCATTTTTCGTATTTTCCTATTTTTTATGTACATCACGTAAGCCGGTGTGTACCTATTAATTCTAAAAATAACACGCGAGTCTCATACC